GAACAGTAAAGGAGTGAGAATCAAAACCAGAATTGAATGATGGAAAAGATAATTGGGACCTAACGAGAGAGCGAGAAGGCTTATCCTGGGACCTGAGAAAGCTGAAACGCTCTTTCAGGTACCTTGGAGACAAAGGATTACTCGTATATAAAATGTTGTAAAACAGAGAGACGATATCGATTGTGAACTGGCAACTTGTACTATCTCTCAATTTCGACAACTTTACACGAATAAGAAAAAAATTGTTTGCGTCATTTATATAGCATCTGGTTTCTTAAATGAACAGACGTAGTGTATGTGTAATAAAAATATTTAAAAACTACGTATTTTTATTATTAAATCAGATGCTATATAAATGACGCAATAATTTTTTTTCTTCATCATGTAAAGTTGTCAAAATTGAGATAGTACCGATTGCCAGTTCACAGTCGAAATGCAAATTCCTGTAGAGACGAGTGGGAAGCCACTTAAGCTGACTGCGATAGTATGAGTACCGCTGGTAGGTACAAGTCTCCTCTCGGGTGAGGGTTTAGGCCATAGTCCGCCACCCTGGCCCAATGCGGGTTGGGGACTTGACACGTTTTCCGAGGGTTGTGAACCTTTTTCAACGTGCAGGTTTTTTCTTCACCGAAAAGCTCATGGTAAATTCCAAATTAAATGTCGCACATAAATTCCGAGAAACTCAGAGGTGCGAGCCCGGAATCGAACCCACAACCCTCTGCTTGAGAGGCAGTAAGTCAAACCATTAGGCTACCACGGCAAATTTCTTTTGTCTGTTTTTCCGTTTCTCCATGAGTTTGTGCACGCCTATCTCTCCACAATTACTGCACCACATTACATGAGGCTTTCAGTGATGTGAGATAAGTTTGAGTTGATATTTGTTTCATTCAAATCGGTAATAAGAAAGATATAAGAAAAAATATATTTCAGTTTAAAGCGTGTCTCGCAAACTACGTGACGCTTGCTTGAGTTCGATAGGAACAAAGTGCGTGCTCTGACCAAACGGTTGGATATACGAGAAAATAATATACTACATAAATATTACTTATCAGTAAATCTACAATAAAATTAACGACACGATACATATTTAAACCACAATAGTGTTTTATGATAAACTAAAAATTATAATGTTATATTAAGTATCTACCTAGGCATGTATACAGGGTGTAATCGTTAACTGTGTTCAGTCGATTACTCTGTAAATATAAGAAATATAAAAAAATCTTTAAATTGATATCAAAAGTGCGTTACCTAATGAGTAAAACGACATCTTATTAAAAATAAAACTAGAAATATTCAAAATTGTAACGTCAAACGCTGTCATAGATTTAATATGACATACTTCGCCTACTTTAAAAGGTAACAATAGGTTTACAGATAGCAAAATTGAATATAAACAAAGTGCTGTTTATTTTTAATTAAGTACCTAGTGACGGGACGAACAAGTCGTGCGCCTGGTGGTAAGCGACACGCCTACCTATAACAGTTGCAGTACCACAAAGAGCTTTTAATCGTAAAGATCTTAGGGGCACAACCACTGTGCCCTTCACCCTGAGACTTAAGTTGGCAAGTCCTGTGCGCCTGTAATTTCACCAGCACGCTTACCCTTACAAACCGGAACGCAGTAATGCTGATTGACGCGTGTTACTGCTTGACGGCAGAAATTGGTAAGGTGGCAGTACTTCCCTGCACGAATGCTTTCACACGGAGCTCTATTGCAAGTTTTATACCATTTCTGTAGCAAGAAGCCCAACATCATCAACGCTCATTCCTAACAACACTCCCTAACTACCTATCCAAATCACTTACTATCTATTTTCTGTCATGCTCCGCATAATCGGCAGGAACCTGGCCAATGGCTGCGGCTGATTGGTATTGGCCTTTCCACAATCCCGGGCGTAACACTCCCTTAAATTGTGCCCCCTGGTATATCCGGCTTCTCCGGGTCAGATTTACGTTGGTTGGGTGTGGCGGCAATGAACAACGATCATTAAAAAAAATCACTTCGCCGTGAGATTTCAAAAAGATATTTTTTTCCCTTAACAGCTAGTTACCTGGTAGCATAGTTTTGGAGGTAGGAAACATAGATGATATATGTATATCACTGTGCGTATAAAATCCCGGGCACAGATACAAAAGTATAGGTAGAATAAGTATTTCCGACTTGTTTTCATTTGAAATGTATAACGGTAAAATGTGGAATAATTTTGTTTCCTGAACTTAAAATTCAGTATTATTCGGTGATATCAGTTCAGTATCATAAATAAGGTAATCGATATTTGTAGCGATCAGTGAAACGAGATCTAGAACCCCTATGTAAGTGGTCTTTTTTATATCTTATTTAGTTTCGGTTTCATTGTTAAGCAAAATCAGCGTACTTATTCATTTTTCAAATATAAAGAAAAACTTTAAGTGCCAATATTTCGAAATTTCCCAAATTGCGCAAGTGTTAGTTGTGACAAAGAGGAGGGCAAAATTACACTTTTGTTATTATTGTAACACCCTGTATAACATGGCTTTATTTTCATTTCCAATTTACGAAAGAGTTAACTAAAGGGTTAAATAGAATCGATATTAATAACAGTATGGAAGAGAAAACAAACGTATTGTGCCTGTCCATAAAAACAAGGCTATTAAACGGAAACAATCATATAAAAGACTTCAGCGCGCTTGGTTGCCTTTGTATAAATAAGACTATACAGACTGTAACAAAAAAGGTAGTTTTGCTTTGGTTAATGAAATAAGTGTGCCGATCGTTAAATTCGAAATAAAAACTTTATTCGAATGTTGTGTTGCAACGATGATAAACTTGTGTACGACGCCGTACACCCTGTACGTTTATAAAACGCGATCTAATCAATACTGTAAACGCTTCGCGATTACGTCTAGTTTAGATAATAATTAATAAACCTTGTCTTACTTATTCATTCGTTTTATTAATAATTCACTGTTACAATCTCGGCTCCTATAAGATATTTGAATTTTTATAAATCGATTTCCGTTGTTCAGCATTGAACTGTCAAAAATAAGATCAAATTCAAAATTAGAATGCTAAGACCCAATGCCGTGGGTGCACTGTTTTAGGTAAACCGTTGAGTTCATGGTCAGTGCACCGGAACCGGTTGCGTACAATGTGTTGTTAGGTAATTCTATTATCCGATTTATTCGACTAAGCATTTTTTTAAAGTGACAACAAAATCTTACCCAAATATACGTTAATTTAAATTTAATCAAAACATGAAATCATAACATTAATTAATGTTCAAGGTTCAAGGTAATTAAAAACATTTTATTTCCTGTTAATTTCACCATAAAGATCCTTAGATAAAGACAAGTGAGTTCATTAATTTTATTTCAGCACTTAATGCAATCACAATACATTTATCATTATTTGACAGAATGTAATTAATTATAAAAGATCGAACCTGGCCCTTTACTACTTCACGCATCGCTAGAGTTGTATCTAATACGGCTTGTAATAAGTACTTATAAATAAAATATATTAAGGAGTTAGTCATGAGCCCGAAACGTTGGTTTTTTGAAGACACAAATATACGCCATTGATTATAACTTAAAAAAAAACCGCAAAAGTTTTTAGAAATACATCTATTTGCCAAGTTTTTTTTTTTTTATTTATTCGGGTCAACAACAGTTTACAATAACAGGAGTTACAATTTACTTCTAATTTAGAAAAAAACTAATTACAGTCAACCACATTTTAACTTATTTTTAGGAATTGATTAACGGAAAGTGAGTGAAATCCAATAAACCGGATTCATTCCCTTATTTGCCACCTTTAAAGGTGGAATATTTTCTTCAAATTTGGAACCAGTACTGAGGTATCTCCTTTCCAAAAAATAAAGAATCATCGAAATTGGTTCACCAATGTCGAAATAATCGCGTAACATTCAAAAAAAGAAAAAAATACAGACAAATTGAGAACCTCCTTTTTTGAAGTCTATTAAAATTATTACGTACTTACAATTGCGAAAACTTAAGAATGCGGTAAAAAAATTCAGGTTTTAATTATAAGTAATTCATAATCGGTAGATACCGAAAATTATATGTATTGAATAAAAAATAGAGTCATCACGAAGAAATTCTATAAATATTCCGATTTCTTTACACTACCAGATATAGTAATGAATGAATTTCAATAATGAAAGTGGTAATGTAAGGAAAATAACAAAAAACCATTTTAATTTATATATAGGTTATATTTCCGCCTGGGTACACATTACGTGTCCGCGTGCAAGGACTTTGATTCGAATGGAGATTGTAAAAAAAAGATACAATTTCCTGAATAAGGCTGTTGCTCTCTTATCCAATGAAACAATACTTGACAGAGTAAAATGTTTTACCATGTACACGGATATCTATGCGTGATGATTGTTGACCTGACATTGTGACCCGTATTTTTTTCCAATGTGTTAAATTAAGCTGTCTTTTAAACAATTTGAAATAATAATTTACATGTTTAAATTTAATGTCATTATATGTTCAACAAAAACAGACGTGCGTGAAAAAATGTAAACGTAGTCAATACCGACTTATTCAAATGATCTTCCAATGTTATTAGAATAATGACACATAATTTAAAGTAAGACACTGTATTATTACCATTATGACAACATTTACTGAATTTACTATGCGAACTGTTTGTTATTAAGGTCAAGTATATTTGTGGGGTCGTTTGCTATAATAGATCACGTTCACAAGGGCCTGAGGGTATTATTACGAATTAATAGTTTTTTTTTAATAAAGGAATAAGCTATTCCATTATTTAAATAAAAAAAAATATATACAATATGATCATAATACGATAGTTCTAATATCTATAAACATACAAAAGCCGGTTCAACTGATATTTGATAAGAATATTTATCGATAATTTAATTGGAAATTTAAAACTAGTAACGCACGACGCGTCTGTTTCCCGCTCAGCGGCCAACCGAATACGAAGGACTCGCGTACGCGGTGTAAAACAGCATTATTCCTACGCCTAGAGGGGCAAATGGCGAAAGTCAGTCCAAATAACCACCTATAAAAACACACAACACACTTCGCATTGCATCCAGTCGTTATCCCGACAAACCAACGCACGAGAGGCATAATGAAAACATCGGTGAGTGCAGAGAAAAAGTGTTCTAAAAAAAGTGAAGTGACAAGACAGTGCAGTGTAAAGTGATGACTTCAAAAAAGTTGGCGGCAAATCGAAGTGTGTCCCGCGATAAGTGTGACCAGTGATTTGAACAACGTTTGATTTAAGTGTTTTGTATGTAAAAGGGATGGAGACACACTTTTTTGAAGTCAACGCTTTGTACTTGACTGTACTCGGTCGTGATATTTTCCAATTCACTGTGTATATTTATAACTATCGACAATTTTGAAAAAGTAAAATTCCAATTTGAACAAGCTAATTTACAGAAAGGAGAGCTACGTACAATTACGTCAAGCAACACTAAAAAAATAACAAAAAATACCGATTTATTACATAATTTAATAATTATTTTTAATCATTGAATTAATTATAATGTATGAGTGTTAAGTGTTAATTACAATTTGTAAAGATCAATAAATTTATGTTAAATATAGAATAATAAAACATTGAAAATCTGAAAATTACGGCACGTTTCAACAATCTACAGAATATAAACAGTAACATAAAAAAGAAATAAAAATGTAACAGATGTCAAAGAAATAAGCAAGTCATAAATGAATCATATCTGAAACGAGCCCCAAGATCACGTACCTCGATGAAAGCCTATAAATAACCCTAGGTAATAATTACGTCACAATGCTAGAGTCTAGACCGCAGACGAGTTTAAAGGTAGCCTAGCCCTAACTAGGAAATAATTGTGTGACACGATATACAGGAAGCCTAGGTGCCATGTTCACATAAGAGGATTCTCTTACGTAAATTGTAATTAAAATTGTCTTCAGAGAAAAAGGAAATATTTTTTATGAAATAATTATGCACTCTAATATTTAACGCGAAATTTTAATTTATAAAACCTTTTCGGAACAAAAGAAAGACTATCTTTGAAACTGTCAAAGATTTCATTGTTGCCAACTTTACAAACGCTTATTAGAACGGAAAATGTTGAAGGAAATTTAAAAAATAAAATCAAATATATTAGCAGCACTACATTTCCACGGGTGACAACATTACGAAACTAATTTATTAAACTCCTACGTGCACACCGGCTCACCTTACTAGGCGCGATTAGCGAACAAGTCTGGCTAGTCTAGGAATTCTAGTGAGAAAAATACGTAATATTCTGATAAATCCTCGTACAACGATGATTAAAAGCAAAAGAGGTCAAGAAAAGACTGTAAACTTACACGTACGTACGTGATTTAATGGATATCTTGTAAGTTTTTGTACAGAATAAGAAATACCGTACGTATATAAAAAATAAAATATAATTTGATAGTTAACATTTGAAATGTCGTAAGGGAAAATGACCTTAGGACAAAATTTCTCTTAGGACATTTAAAATTTCCACCGTCAAAATAAGGTAATAATTTCATCGATATATCGAATTTTGAAATGTCGTAAGCGACATTTTGTGGTAAGGAACATGTTCCATTACGAGAAAATATTCCTTACATGTCAAATTTCCACAGTCGTCGATATGTTTTAATTCTTCCAATGCCATATATTTATACATTACGATTTGATGACCTCGGTGGCCAACGGTTTATGCTGTGGGCGCTGGATGAATAGGTTCTGACTTCGATTCCCGGTAGAATCAAATTGGGAAATGAACTTTTCTAAGCTGGGTTCTGGTCTGGGTATTCTGGGCACTTGCCTTACGTTGGTCTGGTACAGAGAATTCCCTAGTTTGAGACCAGGCAATTATAAAGAACTTGTACCATGGAAATCGAAAACAACGATGGTATCACAACATCCTACACCCGAGACAATACAGATAAGTAAGTTTTTGCCGGAGATCGAACCCGGGACGTCAGAGATGGCGACACCATGAAAACCGGTGTGCAATCCACTCTTTTTTTATAATACCAAGTGACGGGACGAACAAGTCGTATGCCTGACGGTAAGCGACACGCCTATCCATAACAGTTGCAGTGCCATTCAGAGTTTTAAATCGCTCGCTTTAGATCTTATATGGTTATATACAGGTTTGTAATTTCACCAGCACCCTTACCCGTCTAAACCGGAACGCAGTAATGCTCACATTAGTGCTTGGCGGCAGAAATAGGTAAGGTGTCAAAGACTTCCCTGGACGAACCCTTCCACAAGTTGCTCTACTGTTACTAAAACATAAAACCACCGAGGTCGTGCGATGATATCTTTAGAATTCAAATGATAAAAGATATTGAATTTAAATCAGTATACGACCTACGGGATTAGATTCCATAATAGAGCAATTCATACCAAATGAATTTATTCAAATGTCTCGATTTCCCCAACCGCGTTGCATTTAAGTAAGTAGCCGCGATTGCAAAAGCCCCATGAGACGACATTATCCCACGAGCTCGATCTCTGGCCCGACCTCGTTCCCCGCACGCTGATTAGCATCGTTTTGCTGACAAACAATGTGAATTTACTTCTATTTGCATGGTCTATTCGCTTTTTACGACTCTTCGCTAATAGTAATGGCGCAGCTGAAAAGGCATGTTTTTGGTCACAATGGCACTTATGATTTTCTTCAGAAACGTGCACTTCATGAATACTTCTGACAAGTAATGCTTGAAAACACTCACATTACGAGCAAACACCTTTAGAATGAGCAAAAAGATTCTACTTGCGTAAAAAAAAACTCGATCAGAAAAACACCAAGCAGGTACTCAAATGAAATGGAAAGTAATAATAATACGAAGGTCTGATGTCACTACATACCATTATACTCGATGCTACATACCTCCCCGTTTGCCTTCAGAATGAATAAACACATTTCTCCTATGATTTTATTACCGTTTTAGAGTTTTCACCGCTGATTCGTGATTCAAATTTTCAATTTAGAATACACAATAGGCGTGCGTCATTTTCTGTTCTTATTTAAATGGTTACGCACATTGTTTCACAGGCATGTAAGAACAGTTTTCAACCTTTTAAAGTTTCAAGGGGTACCATGAATTCGTATGTTCACCAAAGTTTAAAAAAAATTGATCCGAAATTAAAATTGACTTGAGACTTTGCTGGTGTTAGAAAACGCCTAGAAAAGAGCAGTTTATAACGGGATTTACATACAAAGTCAAGAAAGATACATTTTTAATAGCAACGTTCTAAGTCAGAAAAGTTACACTTATGAATCAATTGCGTAACTTTTTATGTTTCTAGTTACTTACAATTATCGCATTATCACTTTTGCGGTTAAGCGTGATTTACTGTACATGTGAAATGGATTTTATTTTCAAGTTAAATTATATACTTACTGTGATCATGATCAATTTACATTGTACGATTTTTGAGATTTTGAATAAGTAACTATAGAAGAATAGATAATAAAAAGTCGGTAAAAGGAAAAGGATTTTTTGCCAATTTGAATTGTTCTTTACTACCAAAATGATTTTATTCAACACACAGTTTTGTAATATTCATTAGTATAACACAACAAAACTACTCTCTTTAAAACAAAATAATGCTTTGTTTATTTATCCCGAAATGCTAAAGGTTGTGTTTACATTAATTTCGAAATTCAATTAACAAACACAACCAAATGACATGATCTTGACCACAGACAAAATCCAGTTATAAATTTGATCAAGGTTGCTCATTTTCATTACATAATTTTATGTAAATAGTAGAGAATGAAACATAAGGCCTCTTAAGTAACGTTACGAATGTGTTAAACGGTACGTTCGTTCATCACCAAGTACAATCATAATAGACAAAATATCTTTAAAAGTTTTTGTATGAGAGAAAAAAAGTTTTTTTTTTCTGTAAACAAAAGAATCAGATATCGAAAGCGCAGAACCAAACGAAAGTAAAATGATGTTTGTTTATAGGACTATTGGATTAAAAACTTTGTATTGTTTCGAGTAATCATCGTTTGAGGAAAGATCTTTTGAAACATGTTCAACTAATCCTAATGAAACTAAATATCATATAGTCACGAGAACTTTGTCACATTACAGTGAAATGACAAAATATCTATGTCAGTTGAGAATTGCAAAGTTACGTTTTGACATGACCCTTCGAAGTGGGTCATATTGACAAGAGATTTTATTTTACTCGCATTACATTACATGAATGAGTCTGCATCATATTATTGAATCAGAAGTTGCGCGATTTGTAACCTGTTGTAATAAAATGCGAACTTAAACACACATATTTGCATATTTTGATCTTCTAAATTATGTAACATTCATAAAGGTTACAATTTCGAAAAGATTAATAGATTTTCCTGATACAGGTCATAAAATGTGTAATTTCAAAACATAAGTTGACAATAATGGCGTTTTTAATACAAGTGCAATGAGGACGTGCAAAATGATGATGGAAATTTCGTAAATGCTTCGCATAAGTACGAAAACTAGGCCTCTATAAATCCTACGATGTATTGCCAATAATTTTCATAATCTGACGACACCAGTTTCCCCATGAGGTTTCTTACACAAACTATCGCAATCGATTTGATAAACTGTTTTTGAATGACCGCCTGCAGGCTCACGGACTTATGGTATTGCTGTAATGAACACAAATAGGTCAGCAGTAATTTGTGTTGTGTCTTTTATGCGATTGCCGCGTTTAGATCTGGAGTTGATGTCTACAATTTATTGTTCTGCCTCGACATAATTGCATAGGAAATTTGTCACAATGTTGCAAACGTATTAGTATTTTTGTTCAAATTATACTCGGAAAAAACTACAATTTTTATTTAATAATATTGGAATATATGTATTTTCTAAATTTTAATCTATAACAAAGATACGAGGGACCGAAAACTTCCCTAACATGCCAGGGTATTGTCGTACACAGATTAATAAAAGTTAATGAGCTGTGAAATTATCAAGTGCGTCATAAAATTAATTAAGCGTAACAATTGGGTACGTCGGCTTTTCTTATTTAACACATCTTAGGCAATTGACATCTTTGTTAATAACTTTATTACCTGATATTATTTGATACGCTCCGATTATTAATGACTTAATTAAAAAGTGACTCATTGACACATGTTATCGATAGATGCACGAGTTGTTACGAAAGACTTTAATGTCTTAATGAATAAAACATACTTGTGAAAGAAATAAGTTTGTAAAGACTTTCGTTTAAGATTTGTAAACAAAAATACTGCCCTTCGTCTACCACTTGTGTTGTTGTAACGCATTTGCATTTCGGTAACTTTCGAGATATTGGCACCTAAAGTTTAATTGTCACTTAGAAAAATGTAAATTACGCTGATTTCGCTGAACAATAAAACTGAAACTAAATAAAATATTAAAAAATCGATTAGAGGGGGTTGAAGAGCTCGTTTCATCGATCCCAGATATTTTAATAACTCAATTTCGCTAAAAATCTCGATTATGATAAGGAGGGCAGAATAATTCACGACATTTTAAGAGCATTACTCGTAATTGGGCGTGAAATCAATTCGACTGTATTTGTATTGTCGCACTACATGTGCGGATGGAACGCGTCGACACGCGTTTTTACCGTCAATATGTGCAACTATGCTAGCTTCAGGAAGTCCGTTCCGTACTACGATAGTTCCTGATTTTTTGACGCGCTAACACACTTCAGTTAACTTGTTATCTAAGACGATTTAGTATTACCGTTTAATTGCATTGCTAATTAATGCTTAGATATCATTTTGTTTGTGCATCGATAGTCAAAGTTGCAATTTCTCTATTTCAGATCTGCTTAGTTTTCCTGCTGGTAGCAGCAGCAGCTGCCAGCGAGAAGAAGACTACAGAGAAGAAGGCTGAGCCTCTGGACAAGAAGTTGGACAAGCGTGGTCTCCTAAACCTCGGTTATGGGTACGGCATCAGCGGTCTTGATGTTGGCTACCTCGGCAGCGGACATGGAATCGGTGGTGCTTACAACGTGATTGACGATGGCGCCTACTCCCACGGCGGATACGCCCATAGTATCCCTCTTGGCGAGCATACTGACGTAGTCAAGACCATCACTCTTGTTAAGGGAGTTCCCGTCGCCTACCCCGTCGAGAAGCATGTGCCATACCCTGTCGAAAGGCCTGTGCCTTACCCCGTCAAAGTCCCCGTGCCACAACCCTACGAGGTTATCAAACACGTGCCTGTTCACGTGAAGGAGTACGTTAAGGTCCCAGTTCATGTTCCCGCACCATACCCTGTTGAGAAGAAGGTGCCTTACCCGGTGCATGTTCCAGTCGACAGGCCCTACCCCGTTAAGGTTCTCGTTCCTCAGCCCTACCCAGTAGAGAAGCACATCCCCTACCCCGTGAAGGTGCCAGTGCCTCAGCCTTACCCCGTGGAGAAACATGTGCCATATCCCGTTGAAGTTAAAGTACCCGTTCCTCAACCTTACCCTGTTGTGAAGCACGTCGGTGTACCCGTCAAGGTGCCCGTTGATAGGCCTTACCCCGTACATGTGCCTGCACCTTACCCTGTTGAGAAGCAAGTGCCAGTCGCCGTTCCCGTTGAGAAGCCCGTGCCTGTGCCTGTGCATGTGCCCGTCGACCGTCCCGTGCCTGTGCACGTTGAGAGGCCCTACCCTGTGCCCGTGAAGGTGCCCTACCCAGAGCCCTACCCCGTGTACAAGCACGTCCCCTATCCCGTGGAGAAACCCGTTGCTGTACCCGTCAAGGTTCCCGTCGACAGGCCTTACCCCGTACATGTAGAGAGGCCCTACCCAGTCGCTGTGGAGAAGCCCTACCCCGTGCCTGTGAAAGTGCCAGTCCTTGTCAACGAGCACTCCTACGGTCACGATTCTCTTAGCCACCTCAGCTTCGGAGGCTCCTATTATGGCCACTAGAATGTATAGTATAGTTACTTAGTGTTCATCCGCCACTCACTAACTTTATTTATAATCTCGCCAAGTTTAAAATGGCCGGGACGCCAGCAACGAAATTTCATATTTTTTTGTATATTTATACTTCTCATGTCATGTATGTGTATGGGCGTACGTGTATAGTGATTTAAAAGGTTACCATTTTAGGTTTAAGATTGATTGTAAAAATATGAATGATAAGACAAAAAATAAAAAGAATAAATAAGAGTTCCGTTGTTTTATTTACGATTGTAGGAAATGTGTGCAAAGGTCAAGAAACGCGTAAATTCAGACACAGAAGTGTGACTAAATAAGACACAATGGTTGACCTTCATGGTTTGTTATTACCGCAGTCACTTGTTTCATAAAAATAAAATACCTATTTTTGATCTGCACGAGTGCAATTCGACGGTATTTGTGTCTGACCACAAAATTAATGGAATTAATAAAAAAAAAGTGAAGGGACCAACAGCAAAATGTCATAAATTTACTTCAAATAATAAAAACTGAAGCCAATTGTCATTTTATATATAATAAATGGTAATTTACTTGATCAATTATTTATCCTAATATCAGAGAACTATTGCGTTCAAATCCTGTTATTAGATTACGAATAAAAGATCGATATTGACTTTAATAGTTGAAAATTGTAATAAATTGCATGTTTATTACAGCAGTCACGGGATCTATTAAAAGTATCCGGTGAAGGGCTTAATGCAACAAAGTATCTTGTTTGCGTCGCCATAATTCCTTAAAACTGTTTTAGTAATAATACACATGTACAATACTGTTGAACATTCTAAGTAATAACAATGCTATTTATAGTTTTCAGTTTAAGGAATTAAGGTAGCACAAAAAGCGATGGAACGCTCTATGGTGGTATTTCCCTAGTTGATAGCGTCCTTAACGTCGCAATTTCTAATAAAAACGAAGGTCCGTGACGTGGGTAATCACATCACGGGTATCCTTAATTAGGTGAAGCGATATTTCATGCCTTTAACTCTATATAAAGTACAAATCCGAACTTGGGTGGAGTATTGCAGTAACCGGTGGCTCAGCAATTCGAGGATCTTGATTCGGTTGAACGCAGAGCCAGGAGACATAATATTACGATAAGCGCATCTTTTACCATCGGACATCCAGACGCACGGCCGTATATCATCCTTACTTGGGAATATCGACCATCGTCTTTTACTATGGTCACTTATTATGGGACTTGTCAACTTACGCCTCAGGGTGACGGGCGCAGTGACAGTGCTTCTCAGATGTTTAAAATTTAAAGCTGGCGCACGACTTGTTCGTCCTGTCACTTGATATCATAAAAACAACAATACAAAATTGTGCTTAATTAAGGAAAGTGTTATTTCCGTAAAAGATATAATTGTTAATGGTAATATAGAAAATAAGTTAAGTAGGTATGGGTTACATGAAAAAATGAAATTAGTGACTTTGAAGCACGATGTTTGAGAAGTCGTAAATAAATCACAGTACAGTGAAGAAAAATATTTTTGTCTGAAATTAATCAAGAATGTATGTGCAATGCAAGTTATCACTTAACGTGGTTGCGCGGTGTAAATTACCATCAGTTTGAGCTTTTTACGTAACGAGTGGTTACGGTTAGGTCGTGGCAATAATTATGATGCCCTTGTTACGACCATCTTATACTTTTTCGAATTATTTAATCAATTAAATTAGAATTATTCATTATTTCTCTCTCTTTAATGGAAAAGTCTTCGAGCAGTGCGTGTTACCAGCGATGATTTACGGCTCTGAGACGTGGTCACTTTCTATGAGCCTCATAAAAAAGGTCAAAATCACTCAACGAGCTATCGAGCGAGCAATGCTCGACATTTCTCTACATGATCGAATCAGGAATGAGGAGATCCGTAGACGAACGAAAGTCACCGATATAGCTTATAGGATTAGCAAGTTGAAGTGACAGTGGATATGGCACACAGCTCGTAGAACTGACGGTTGTTACGGCAGAATTTTTCTTGAATGGAGACCACGATCAGGATGGCATTCAGTGGGACGGCTAGACTAGATGGAAGGATGACCTTGTAAGCACGCAAGATGCATGTCGCGTCCGACCGGCTAGTCCGGCAATCTTTGGGAGAGGCCTATGTTTAGTTGTGGCATCTTCCAGCTGATGTGATAACGAGCATGGATGACTGTGTCAGACCAAGGACCCTACTCTCGAAGCACGAAATCTGAAGTAAAGTCGTTTTGCAACTGTGAATGGCTTACGGGTCTTTCTCGAAGTCCGTCAACCAAAAGACTTAGTTCTAGCCCCGATCGAAACACAAGTCTGTATGGCATCCATAGTGGGAAACCAGCCGTAACTACGGATTTCGTCATTCGAAAGTCGGGGCCTCTGTAAAGGGATCAAAACGTTGGTTTGTTTGAAAAAAAAAGTGTACGCCATTTATATCCGAAAAATTAGTTTCATTTCCAAAGTGTAGTTAGTAATCGCTAAAACCGAAGAATTCGATTTTTGTTGAAATTGGGACTGTTCTGTGCCTGAGTTATTAACAAGTTTATTGCGCGTAAGTTGCGTGTAATGCAATCGACAAGATGATTTCGTTTCGTCTGATGTGGTCACACGTGTAGCCCAATATTTTTTGTCCACTTAAAATGTCACTAATATGGATATACACAGTCTTTTTTGAAGACGGAGTAAAATGATATTTGCAGGGCTGCCAGTTTTCTTAAAATTTTAAACAGTCATGTAGTTGCTCTCTACTATTGTATCGATAGATTGTGAAAGAAAGAATCCTTGTATAGAATTAATCACACCGTTAACTCCCCTGTTTATAAATTATTTATACCTAATTAGAATAAAAATAAATCAACTAATTTCACTAACTTTTACTAATTTTAAAATCTCTCACCTGAAAAGTTGTCATTTTGTAGATATGGCCGTATAGCACAAGGGTGCGTCGTGTTGAAATTAATATACATAATGATTAATTTCATAAGTAATAGTTTTGTTTATTGTAACATAAATGGAAAGATGTTGAACAGGTGTCAATACTTAATTCGTTTTCCTGCTCCGCTAACAAGTGCTTTTGTTTTAAACATCCTTTAAAATAAACTAGGCCAAGTGCGTTTCTCACATTAGGTTGTACAAGTTTACGATCACTAAGGTACAATAATCCATAGCAGGGTTAAACGTTGCAATAGACCATACGAAACGATGTTTTGTTCATTAAATGCACTGAGAAAATCACTTGTAATTAAGTTAAGGTCAATATATTATAATAGGGCCAAATAATTAAGATCATAAGAGTCAATACTGTCTCAGTTTGAATTAAAAATTTTCCCGTACAAATATTTATAATATAATTTATATACAATATAATTTATATATATTATAATATAATTTTACTTGGGTCGAGAGGCAGGGACATTGGCTTTATTTCAGAATTTTTTTTAGAAACGAAATTAAAGCTGCTTGAAAAATATATATCGTAATAAAAAAAAATCCTTGATATATGTAAAGTACATGTTGAATACAGAGGTTTCCTTGTAAAATTTCGAGGTAAGTTTTGTGTTTTTTTCTCTATCGTGAAAATTTTTAGAAATCGTGTTTTCAATCAGTTTCAATCAGTGTATATTCTCAATTTTACTATATATTTTTTACAAAGTGATTAATTCAACACTTTCACTGTTATGCGGAATCAACCAAAGCCATTTGAAGTAGTATAGACTCTTAAATGTGTGAGAATCGTGTACGAGATCTTTAATGGAAATATTGTACGGTGGTCAAGTCCTTTTACTTTAGAATAATGGTTGTATAAGTGAATATTATTTTTCCATAGTTGTAAACATATAATTTATTTTGAAATTTACCATGAGCTTTTCAGTGAAGGAAATCGTCGTTAGGAACGAAATTAAATGCAAAAATTGCTTCTTATTTAAGATAAATTGAAATCAATATTTTTTGATTGCAAATCAAATGTTTTACTTATAAACTGTAATCCTTAATTTGTTAAATTAAGTATATTTTGGTTTCATTCACGGTAAAGACCAATAAGTAAGATAAAAAAAAAATTCTAAAACCTGCACACATCTGCTAAGCAATTTAATGATGTGTGTGAAGCTTGTCTAATCCGCATTGCGCCCGCGTGGGAATTACAGTCCAAGCCCTCTCATTGTGAGAGGGGGCCAGTGCTCAGCAATGGGACTATATATAGGCTTACTTTAAAGGAAACCCACACAAACATACATAAACACAATTGTTATACACAATTACTTGACATATAAAATTAATATATGACTATCGCAATTTGTATTTAATATTCAAATATATGTTTAAAAAAGGAACCTTTCGAGTTTCTTGTTCATTCTTCTCAGCACGAGTTACGAATGAGCAGTAGAGTTTTATTAATATGACGATTTCAAGTGTAATTTGCTTACCTATGAAATAACGATGATTGTTATGTATTGTTATGTAAATAAAGATGATGAATTTGTTACTGAATATCTGGGCGCAGGACAGGGAGGTCCCAGCCTCGATATGCGATAAGACTAATGTAGAAACTTAATTTTTCTAAATTGGTGTTTGTGTTCTATACTAGACTGTACTGCTCAGGCAGTGCCTCTAGTACACATAGTACTTACACGGGATTCTTTACTTTGAGACAAGATCAATGGTGCGGTTGTGACACGTTATTATGATATCTATCTGCTAATACCAATAAACTATTTCCTTTTGAGCTTTCGTCGTCTAATCATTCTAGGACACTTTTCTCAGGCTATCATAGGGATATCGGTGCACCTAGTTGGAAGGCTTCACACACTATGTTGGTTTTTTTATAATATTCATTGGCGTGGCGAATAAGTCCTGTAGGTAATTAAATTCATTTATTCATTCCTTTTTACAGGTATATGGCATACTATTATATATTACCATCTAGGTAAAGGCCAAAATGGCATACAAAGTCAATTTTTTTTGCAATACCAAGTGACAAGACAAACTTGTCATTATTATTTACATTATATTATTATAAGTGTATAA